AAAGAATCTTTTGTAATAATGTGGGGCAGTTGACGCATCGACATAGCAAGGAGAGTAGCCGCCACTTGGTGATGTCGTGAGTGAACATCAGCCACCACATTCCCTTTGCCATTCCTATATAATAACTCATAGTCATAAGGGTCGACCCTCCATGAGTACAATGCCTATTCCTAAGGCATCCGTCCCTAGTTTTGAAAAGTCGGGCAAGACTAATATAGATATCATACACACCTCCCCCTTCAAGGCATCAAAGGCTAAAGCGAGCCTAGAATCCGATACAAAGGCAATCTTCTTGAATAAACTAGTGAATGAGGAGCTAAATTTGCCTAGTTCTTGACTCTATTGAGTCCCAAAAACCTACACCAACTTTTTAAGGTATTCAGGATAGGCCAACTTACCATACTCTCAATCTTTCCAGATCTGCCCCTACACTTGCTTATGATGTGACCTAAGTACTCCACCTCTTGCTGCCGGAATGAGCACTTAAAGCTTGATGTAGAGTCTATTCTTTCAAAGTATTCATAGAGTGCAAACCGATTGGTCCAAGTGTTCTTCCCATGGGGTACTATAGATGACTGTATCATCAGAAAAAATAATAATTATGAATTTAAAAAATTCATGATCAGTTCATTAGACTTTGGAAGCTCAAAAGAGCATTGTGGGCCCAAAAGGAATTACTAGGAACTTGTACTGGCCCTCAAGAGTACAAAATGCAGTCTAGGAATATCTTCCTCTTTTCCTCAGACAAGATGGCATCAAGATCAACGATCAAGATCGGAGTAGTATTAAGCCTATGGAGCTCTTCTAGTACGAGAAATTTATCCTTCTTGAGTTCAATGCCTTCGTAGTCCATATACATCCTCTACAAGCCATTCTTTGTTCTGATTGAAAGCATTGAAGAGCAACAAGGGCTAACTCCTTCATTTCTTAGACAAGCTTTTTTCATCTCTATCTTTTAGTAGAAATGGGTGCATGTATAGCCGATTATTAAGGGCTCTGGTTCTTGTATTTAAAGGAATTAGATGATGATGGAAGTGGGGGAAGTAAATCCTTTGGTCTACCAAAAAGGTCCACACGTTGCTCAATCAATGCAACAGAGATGAATTGGGCCACCATTCCAAAGAATCCTTAAGAAGCAATGAGAACTGATTATCTTCGTTCTATTGACTTGTCTTGCAGCATTATTGCTGCTTCTCAATGATGAATTGCATCCACAACTTTGAAAAATCCTACAACATGGTCCTAGAGTTCGTAGCCACTGAGCCCATAACACAATATCAGAACGACCTAAGGGTAGGGAGTATACATCAAGCTTACAATGGTAGTTTGCCAAGGTGAATGGCACATTACTGCTCTTACCCTTACAAGCCAACTCCTACCATTAGCTCTCATGTCCATAGTTGTTGGATCGAGAGCAAGAGATCATGAAAGGCTAGAAGATCCATATGCTTGGAAGCAACGTCCATACGATACAAATGTTAGGGATCAATATTGCCAAATGTTACGGATCTCAATACCATTTACCTGTTTATCGATTAGCTTGTCTAGATACAAGCTATAGATGGTGCTTTCTCAGTTGGGAGTGTGCGGGATCAGATTTGCTAGTCTGCCCCAGTACAGCAAGCTTTTAAAGCACTTTGGTCAACGCCATCCTTACCCAGAGCAAGTGGTTCACCTGGCTCTCTCTTCATGCCAAATTACCTACCACTGGATTGCTTCAATCATGAGGCCTGCCTGTGGAGTCCAGATGCCCTCTTAGCCTCCAGGAAGAGGCGACTACTGATCATATCATTATGCATTGTTATCTTTCGCAGATTCTATGGCGGTCTATTCTTTAGAGATTTGGCAAGAATATACCGGTCAAAATCAACAATTATGATGTTTGCCAAGTGGCTCAAGTTCCATATTAAGTCTATTGGTATGAAAAATGTTTGGATGTTCATTTTAACTATCACTACTTGTTGTATTTGGACAGAACACAACATTTGTATACCTGGAGGAGGGAGGACATCTAGAGCGAATCTACTAAGGTGAATCATCCATTTCGTCAGCTTGCTTGCTAAGGGAAAGGATTGGGCCTTCACTTATTCGAAGCGCAGCATCACCAACAATCTCAAGTTAAAGTGGCATGCAAGTGGTGTGGTCGCTCCCCCCAAATGGCTGCTTCAAGCTTAATATAGACAGCTCTTCTAATCCTAGAGCTGCTGGTTGCGGGGGATCATAAGGAATGATGTAGGTTGTTTCATAGCTGCTTTTGTAGTTGCCCTAGGTCTCAACTCCAACAATGCTGCCGAATTCTATGCTTTGAACGTGGGTGTTTCTCTAGTAAAAGAACTCAATTGCAAAGCCCTCATCATAGAGAGCGACTCTAAATTGCTCGCGGAATCCTTGAGATAAAAATGTAAGCCCCTATGGAAGTTGCATGTAGTCTCGTCTAACTGCAGCGCAAGTCTTTCCTCCTTTGCAATCACCAGTGGTAGTTTTTTCACATATACAGGAAGGCCAATATCGTTGCTGAATATCTGGCTAATAGGGCAGTATCCATAACATAAGCAACAGTGTGGCATGCTTGCCTCCCAGATGATCTAGATCCCCTATTATTACATGATGTTGCTAATGTAGTATTGTCCCCCTTACAAGGGGTGTAAAATGATTGCAAATTAATTTATCCTTTTATGTCACCAATGAAATGGGTAGCGGCTCATCATCCCCACTGATTCACCCAAAAAAAAACAAAAGTACATAAGCTAAGACCACCCCAACCCCGGGGGACCAAACCTCCAACTCAGTAGCACCTCCAAATTGAAGGTCCAACTATAATCCACAACGTAATCCAAACTATACTTCTTGCTACAAGCCTCAAAAAATACCACCACAGAGAATGGTTGAGTAGAGTATTTACCATCAAGGACCACCTAGTGAGTAAACCAAAGAACTACTACCTCAAGTGTTTGATATTCTTCCTCAAAGATATCTCATCAGGATTTCAAGAAACAGCTTTGTTATCGGAAATAAATCCCATGAAACAACTGCTGGTAATAGGGAACTTGAATGGGAACAAAGAGACTCATAAGAAACACAGAGTAACGATGGAAACATGATAAGAGAGTAGACACGAAAGTGGGATTGTGGGAAACACAATGGGAATGAGATATACCACTTAATCATATCAATCTGATCTATACTCAGAAGAGATTATAGAGAAGACTAAACAGGGAGACAAGTCCGATATCAGCATTATGAACAGTTTCATCCTTTAAGACTAGTGAGAGTAGAACCACGGAGCATTCACCATGTAAGAAAAGAGTGCATGCACTAGAAGCACAGAAAGCTTGTAAGAATAGGATAGTTTGGCAGGTAAATAGGTAGTATAGTTGTATTGCAGTGGAGAGTAAGAATGTTGAATGAAAAATAATCATTTGTTCAAAGTAAAATGAAAAATATATCCAATATGTAGGCTCAATTAGACAAGGAAAACTGTCCTATGGGAAGAAGTAGCATGAAAAGCACAATTACTAGGTTCTGTGAGGCACATACAGAAGTAAACTCTGCAATAATGACGATGGGATCTGAATCACATATGAAGAATAACAGCTCTATTGATTTAAGTTTTGCTAACTTTCATGTATGTTTTAGAATCACAGTAATAAATCATGAAGATGAGGACATCTTAAAACCTTAGATAAAGTAAAAGCTAATTTTCTCAAATGTCTCGACTACAACAGTACAAAGAAATATTTGTTATGGGAACATAAACTTACATCTAGCCAAAAATATGGAACATGAAATAGCATTGCAAGTTGTACAGCCTGAACACTTTCAGTACTATTTACTTAATTTGGAGCATAAAGCCTTCATTTCCAACAAAAATCTAGACCACACGTTGGAGCAATTCGAATAAGAAACAGCTAACTATGTGTCTTGCCTCAAGGAAGCTGTGAAAGAGAAATGTAAACTTACAGAGAATTGTAACAAGTTAAGCACCACAGAGAGAGAGAGAGAGAGAGAGAGAGAGAGAGAGAGAG